ATTTAAAATCTGTGGAGGGTCGTTTGGGGACCTTGTGGCACGTAGTGCACCATGTCACTGTATTCGGCCCTTCAAAAAGTGTGGATGGTCCTGTACGAAACCTTCACCACTATAATCAAATCTCATGTGCTGTTGTCGGGCTGTCGGTTACCTGGGAACTGATCTGCATGACACTCATACGTCGAACTCGACAGGGAGAGTCGACTATATATATATATATATATATATATATATATATTAATAAATATGGCGGACAAAGAAGATTTAATATTTATTTAGTTTTTGCGTTTGATAAGATTAAGTATGTACTTAAATTTTCATTTTGCCAAGCGCTTTCGGCCACTCTTTAGCCATTTTAAAGAGGGGTGTTTTGGTGTTGTTAGTGTTCCTTATGTTTTGACTGTTAACAAAATAAGCTTGAATGTGTGGGGACGTAATAGATAACGGCTCCGAATTGGAGATCGGAGAGGCGAGTTCTAATTCCAGTCAGGTTTGTTATATTCACTTACGAGCAAAAGCTATGAATTCACCTCTTTATCCCTCAGCTATGGGTTAATTAGTATGATCTGTATCAGTAAATCATTGTTCTTCCCAAATCACTAAAAAATTTTTACACTTTAAAAGCATTTTCTGTCTTTAAATAACATGCAAAAAAGGTTAATAAGCCGGGAAAAAAATCCTGCCTTACATAAAGTAAAACATCCTCAGTTTAAACAGATACATACGCATAACACATGCAAACACATAGACGCCTTAGAAAGAAATAATTTCAAAAATACAAATATCCGCGCAAAGTAAATAACGTAAAAAAAAAGATTGAGACGTTTGCGCATGCGTACCTTCATTCAGCCCACTTGAATACGATGAACGCATAAACATTGAAAATTGCCTTTTCTAAGCCGCCAACACGTCAGCTGGTGATAACAAGGCTGAAGTGTGTTAAAAACAGCAGTCGTCATACGAATTGATAAACGTCTGCTTCAGAGAGAACCTTTGAAGACGACGCAGGCGCAGTGCCTATCAAGATCTGACTGCGTAGTGGCCATGAAAAGAAGTGCAACAAATCCGCCATCATCCTTGCCTCTTTTTCATCTCTCTCTCTTTCTCTCTCTCTCTATCTCTCTCTGAAATGATCGAAGCAAGTTTCAAGAGTCGAGTCGATTAGAAGAACAAATGGCGCTTGATGTGAAGCGAGCGATTGAGCAAAACAAATAAAGCTTTTACGAAAGCCAGAGCTCGGCCAAAAGCAAAGTATTTTCCTTCAACAATGGAACCCGGATAGAATATTACAGTTTTGAAATATCCGCTGTATTCATTGTCTTTATATTTTATTTTATTTGTGCGTGCAAATTTTCGTATGTCTCTATGTGCGTAATGGGGAGATTATGGTGTAAAGTGTACGTATTTAGTTCTTGAACGCATATTTGTCAGCCCTTGGATTGCACATGCGTAGTGAGATTAAATGGGCGCCATTTGTTTGAGTATTATCGCGTATAGAGTGTGCAAATATGCCTGAATCTTTTCGATCATATGAACGTTTTGTTTTGCATGTGAGTCAGTGTGCGCATACGCGCGTCAAGTAGACTTCTTCTCTACATGTATTAGGGTGGAACAAAATAAATCATCGCTTTTACGTTGCTATCTGTTATTTTTTTTTTTTAGAATCGTTCCTTTCTTTTTTCTGCGTAAATCTATATATCATTTCAATGAATCGCGTCGTCTCTTTCTGGTGTTGTTAAAACTTTTTAGTTAATTGGGAAGGGGGCGTTTTTTTTATGAAGTATGAAAGAAAAGATAAATAAACGTGTGACGAACGCGCGTCGGTACAAACGCAAAAAAAGGCCCCGGATCGCATGTGGACATGTTTGTCAACAGTTACACCCGGGTTTTCACCGCTAGCAGCAGGACAGCTTGGCATGTCTAGATACGGGCTTCTCTGCAACTGGTCAAGATCCGGGGCTTTGTAAGATGCCTCAAGCTAATAGAAGCCACAGAAAAACCAGCAGTTGGCAAAACACGGTGTCTTGTGAAGTCGGTCCCGTGTGCGCTTTCTTCCTAAAGTTGGTTTCCGAGTCATGTTTGTTAACTTCCGTCTCTTTCCTCTCTCTGTCTACTACCACCGTAGTCGGTTGAGAGAGAGAGAGAGAGAGAGAGAGAGAGAGAGAGAGAGAGAGCAATCGGTTAGAGGTGTCCCCCACTCTGAACGCACTTTTTTGCTTACATTACAACAAAACGTGATTTTCGTACCAGCTGTTATGCTAGCCAAAAATTGCAAGCAAGTACAGAAGTTTAAATGTCAGGGAAAATATTTTAACGGAGGAAAATGCGACACCCGTATCCATTGGAAATAGCAAAAGGGGCATTCCAAAAATGTTGAAAAACAGAAAAAAAATCGTTACAAACAAAGAAAAAAGCACTGGATTACAATGTGATATCTATCCTCCTGTAGGGTAAAGAATGCCACACAGATGAAGATAAAAAAAAGTGTAGAGCGATATCAGTGTCAGCCTCTATCTTGTTAAATGAAAACATCTGACGGATGTTACAGAAATTGTTTCGACAGTTGCTGCCTTGATAACGATCAGCTAAATTCACAAAAGACATGTCGGACGAACCTGAACGGAACAAGTCCTTGGGTTCTTGATAAAATAAATTAAATTTTTAGACAAAAATGACAAGAGAAAGAGCACTGTTCTCTATAAGACAATGTTCCCGAGTAGCAACAGTCGTAGAGACTCACAGAGAGCGGACAGAAAGGAACGAGAAACCGCTCGCTTCGACGCGAAAAGACAAGTCATTTAAGCCTAAAAGATCAAGCACGCCCCGGTCGACCTTCCGGCATCGATGAAAACGCTCTACATTCCAGCGTTGGTGAATAAACAGAAGATCCCGGCCTTTCGTCATTTGAAGAGAAAGAAAAACGATTTATTTTGGCAAATCGGAAAAATGTCCCTTTTCTACCCTGACAACGCAAGAGTACCTTGAAAAATAAACCTTGAAGAGACTTAAATAGTTGAAAAGAGAAACCTTTCAGCATCCACCGTATTGATCTGACTTGGTCCCTTTGGGGTTTTCTTATGTACCGGCTTCTTCAGAACAATTTAAATGGCAAAATATTGACTCTATACAAACTTTTTACAATCTTCTTACAACACAAAACAAAGTTTCTACGAAAAGGACATCAACAAGCTTGTAAAATTATGGGTGACATTTGTTAAAACAATGGGGACAATGTATTTGACTAATCTACATATATGAATGTTAGTGCGACGCATTTTACCAGTTTACTCCTAGAAGCTGTAGCTCAACATATCATACCATTTTAAAATCAGGCTGACTTCGTGAGCCAATTAAAAACATCCCGGGACGGATCTAGACCTGCAATCCTGAAATTCTGGATTCTCAAGTTTTCATTACTGACATTGTTTTCGGTGCATTTTGCGACAAATATTTTTGTAAGGTAACAATTTTTATAGCTTCGAAATAAATTTGGGTATGATTGAAATTGAAGTCACCCATGAAAGTAAAGACCTACGTACATCAAATTGTCTTTAAATTAAATGGCGGCAGAAGAATTATAGTTGAACTTTTTAAAAGGAAAGCTTAAATATTAATGCAATGCTTAAGTGCAACGATCAATTTTGAGTTATTTCTGTAGTTTATTGTTGCTTTTCGCATACGGCAGTAGTATACCTCGCAAAAGGAAATAAAAAAAGGACCAGATTGGAATCAAAAGTGCCAAGGCTGCAAGAAGAAGAAGAAAGCCGCGTGAAAATGAAAACCCCGATGAAATGGTAGCCAGATCTTTAATTACGGAGAATATGGAACTCTCAAGCTCTTGAATAAGTTGTAGGCCCAAATGAAGAATCCTTCGCAGGGTTTAGTTTAAATGCTACCTGATAGGTAGTAAATAATTTTTTTGTGAGTAAGCAAAATTTGTTTGTTTATTTTTTTAATTTTGTAATCGGGCACGAACCTTTGTACTGATGTAATATTTAATCTGGATTTTGACATCTTCTATTCATAGTTCGCTTCTTGGATTTTTCTATTACGGACAACCATACATTTAGTCTTAGGAGGTGAAGAAATGGCTAGCGGCTCGAATTGAGAAAACCAGTCGTAACCATTACATTCACTCCCGTGCTAATACTCCTGGGAAAAGTATGAATCCTCTTCTCCACGCTCCAGCTATGGGTAAATAGCAGGAAAGACCGGGTTCTATAGCCTTGGGTGACAACTGGTCAAGGAGAAGGACAACTCTGAATTCAAAACCTGATCTTCTAAGTTGGTGGTTGCGCAGTAGGCTAACAACCTACTCAGTTAAAAACCAGCTTGTTACAGAAACCGCAACGATATCTTGCGACCCTATGTCCTTCAAGGAATTTGAAAACACACACACACACACACACATATATATATATATATATATATATATATATATATATATATATATATATATATATGTATGTAAAATTGATGGTTAGTCCTTTTTCTCGCTAAGAAGTTCTGTATCTTTTCCTCAGTATCTGTCATCTTATAATGCGCTCACAAACAATAAATCTTGGCAGAATCTCCAACTATTTGAAAATTTGATCTGAAATTTTCATTGTATAATTTCACTTGATGTCAGTGGCTTTCTCTGACAAGTAAATACCTGTTCGACCCAACTACGCAAAACGTATGGTCACATGTATGAGGCACCCAGTGATGGTCGAACTCATGAATCCTTAGTAATGAGCTCCAACGCTGGCACGTTAACCCTCACCTAACACCGAAGTGCCACTATTATTTACAAAGCTTAGCCTGGTAGAAGGTAACAAGAATATAGAACTCAGCGGACATAGATTTCATTACTCCGTAGTAATGATCAACCAGACTAGCTCGTTAACCATTACTACACACTGTGGCCACTTACTATTATTTATTAAGTTTAAATTTTTGTTCTGGCACAAGGTCAAAAGAATGGAAGTTACTATCAATGTTTAAAGAAATTAAAAGTCTACGGCCAGATTAAGTTGAAAAACCGGTTCTCCTACGATCATCTAAGTTAAGCAATGTCGAGCCTGGCCAGTACCAAGATGGGTGACAGTTTGGGAATACCAAGTGCTATAAGTCTGGATGTGCAGCCGGTGTAATGGATAACAGCTCGGAATTGGAAATCACTGAGTCAAGTTCCAATTCCAGTCGGGTTAATTATATTCATTTATGCGCAAATACCTTTGGGGAAAAATATAAATCTCCCAATTCGCCCCCCGCTATGGGTTAATTAGTAGAATTTATCTCGGTAATCTATTATTATAATCTTCTAAAATATTTCCTGGTTTGATAAGCCGTAGAAATAATTATATTAAATAATTTAAACAATTAATTCAGCAGTTTATCTCGTTAAACATTACCCGACACTGATGCCATGATGTTGTTTACTAAATGAATCCTAATTTTAGCTTTACCTATCTCGCGAAGGAGTTTTAAAAAAAATGCTTGATTAATGCCACGGATGATATATTTATTTACTTACATATATATTTTCCTTGAGCTCTGAAAACGAAAAAACGTTGACCGTAGAAACATTAAATAGATCTTCAGCCTCGGTATCAAATCAGGCTCACACATCTGCAAATCTTTTTCTACACTCGTTTGCAAACAGAAGCATTGTAACTTTACATACGCATTTAGCTTATCCGTAAACAATATTTTCTTTGAGAGTAACGAATGGTACCGAGTTAAAATGATTGATAGATTTGTATACGTGGGCACTCAGGTAAGTAAATACATTTGAGCGTGGGCATGTGACTGGTTGATAACAGATTAACTGAATAGTGCATTATTTGTTTGTGTGAGTAGTAATGCGCATGCGTGCTTGAGACGCGCAAAGGTAGCTGGAAAAATATAGAAAACGCCACGCATTTCGCACCAGATTTATAGCAATTCATTTGTTTTCAGTTGCTTAGGATTTTATCAGAATGTTTGATTATGGACAAATGAAAGAAAGAAGGAAAGAAAGAGGAAAGAATAAAAAGTGAGAAAAGGAAAGATGAGAAAAGAAAGAAAGAAAGAAAGAAAGAACAGAGTATAAAAGAAAGAAAGAAGGAGGAAAGAATAAAAAGTGATAAAAGAAAGAAAGAAAGAAGAAAGAATAAAAAGTGAGAAAGGAGAGGTGGGGAAAAAAGGAAAAAAAAACAAACGAAAGAACAGACTATGAAAGAAAGAATTACATAAAGAAAGGAAGAAAATAAGTAGAATAAAAAAAGAGAAAAGAGAAAGGAAAGAAAGAAAGAGAGAGTGGGGGGGGAAGAAAGAAAGAAAAAAGGAAAGAAGAAAAGAAAGACTATCTTTAGAAATGAGAAAAGAAATTGAAATTTAAAGAAACCATGAAGAGAAAACCACGAATAGGCTAAATGCAAGAGAAGGAGGTGGAAAAAGAAAGAAAGAAAGAAAAAAGGAAAGAAAGAAAGAAAGAGAAAATTAAAAAAAAGAGGAAATAAGGATAAAAAGTGAGAAAGGAATGATTGGGAAAAAAGATAGACAAATGTAAGAAAAGAAAGGTTGAAAAAGAGAAAGAAAGAAAGAAAGAAAGAAAGAAAGAAAGAAAGAAAGAAAGAAAAAAGAAAGAAAGAGAAAAAAAGAAAGAAGAAAAGAAAGTTTAACGTTAAGAATGGGAAAATCAATGACTAGACTAAATGCGAGAGTAGGATGAAAAAAAAGGAATCAAAGAAAGAAAGCAAGAAAGAAAGAAAGAAAGAAAGAAAAGAAGAAAAAAGGAAAGAAGAAAAGAAAGTTTAACTTTAAGAATAGGACAATTTGAAATTTAAAGAATCTCTAAAGAGAAAACAATAAATAGACTAAATGCGCATTTCCCGAAAATCTGCTCCGAATCGTAAAATAAAAAATGCATTCAAACTATGACATTATTTAATTAGAAAAGCTTTTAATTTATTTTATAAATAAGATTTATTAAGGACACTATTAAGGAAAAGAATTTTGATGAATAATTGTTTTCTTTTTTTTAAATTTTAATTATAATAATTTATAATAATTTAAATCGTTTAAAATTATTTTCTAACGCTTAGGTGATATTGTAATTGGAAACTATATTTACAAATCAAAAATTGAAAATACAATATAAGTCGTTTTGCACCAAGAAATTTTTATTTTTTTTATGTATACATAACATACCCCTGTTTGAAAATATGGTCGACTATACATGACATAATCAGAAAATAACAGCGATGACAATATTAAATTCAAATTCAACATTCTTAAAATTACGGCGAATATTTTCCAAGATTTTTAAGATTACTGAGTACTTAAAAATTATATAAAAACGCGTTCACCCGTCATTTTCTTAAATTATGTTTTAACAGATAAGGTCTCTGATAGAAGAATAATAAAACTGTCAACACCTCGTAAATTACTCGTCAAGTGATTTACAAAGTGTTGACAAGCACTTAATCTCGTTGCTTTTTGTTTTAAAAACCCATTTCTCAGTTATTTTAAATAATAAATTGAATAATACTTTTTTAAAAAAATCAGATTATTTGTATTTAAATAAGCTAATATCCCAAAAATAAAATTACAGAAAAGTATATTTTGTTTTTGGAAGATTTTTAAAACCAAGAATTAACTTTTGTTTAAACATGTGTCAAAAATAGCTGAATTTAAACGATTTCTGAAAGCGAGCAAAAAGTTGAGATTCCAATCAGTATAATTTTCATTTGAAATACACAAGAGTAATTTGCTTACTGGAAATAGTAAATTTAATCAGTTAAAGCTAAAATGAAAGCTTCAAGAATGCTTTTCCATTTTTAAAAATTCAGTTTAAACCTTAGGTATCGAAAATTCAGTGACGTTGCCTAATAAAACCTAACTGCAGGTCTTTTATTTTTACTTGCCCTAATGTTAAAATGTGCAGTTAACATTATGGTTAGCAACTCGGAATGAGAAATCAACGGGCTGAGTTCGAATTCAGGTCGAGTTCGTTATATAAACTTTCGCTCAAATACCCACGTGAAAAGGTATGAATTTATCACTTCTGTTCACCAATTCGTCGTCGTCGGCTTTATCTCGTATCTAAGAATTCGATTTCTTCTGTGCTGCTCGCTTCGTTGATGATGATGGCGTTGGCGACTAAATTCGCCGTCAACGAGAAGTTTCAGGACTAGAAGCTTCCAGTTTGACCAAATCTTGCTCCATCATCCATTCCCTGTCGCCGATTGGCTTTGCAAGAGTTGGTTGAAGGTGAAAGAAAATCAGAGAAGAAATTTTCGATGGGGTGAATTTGTTTAAGGTGGACCTCAACTTGCCAGGAAGTGATCCACACACTTGATTTCATGACCTTTCTCTATGGCACATATAGAAGATACAGATAGAATACAGTTATGAAATGGCCGCTGATTCTGATATAATTTCGATTGACGCCTTCTGTAGCATGTCCATAATGCGTAGCCCTCTTTATCCGCTTGTTCAACCGTTGAGATTTTTTTAATCGAGTTCACCCCACGCATGGCAGTAAATCCACCCAGACACAAGGGGTTACAGAGTGTGGAAGAATTAGGAACAGAAACATTAATGATTAGAGAAAAAAAAATCGGGTGAAGAGGCGATAGCAATTGACATTGCATTTAAATCTTTGCCGATCAAAGTTGGTTGGGAAGCATGGAACTGGAAGGGAGTTCCACAAGCGAAAAAAAGAAACTGTTAGCATAGAATTTACTGATCTTCCACCAATTATAGCTTTAGCATCCTGCGAGAAGAATTCTAAATTCAAAACCGTGTGTATCCCTGGCGAAACACATACTAAAGAGCCTTATTACTGAATTATGTCCTGTGACTGTCTATATTTCTGAGATGAGGTATTATGTACACTATTTACCTCATTCGGACTATTGTCCTCATCTTTGTCGCCATATTTATTACAACGTTTCGGCCGTTGTGCACTCCGGCCTTTTTCAGGTGGTTGGAATGTCGAACTGAACCCTTTATTTCGCTCATGCAAGGACACATGGCGCAGTGGATAAAGGCGTTGGTTAGATCCAGTGACAGGTCCCAAAGAGTGTGAGTTCAATACCCGGTTAAGGCAGTGGAGAACTTTCAGAGGGAAATTAACAGGAGATAACTGATAACTGACACCCATTAAACATGGCACGTGGAATTATAACAGTCTACTCTAGGGAGCGAAATAAAGGGTTCAGTTCGACATTCCAAGAAGAAGGCCGGAGCGTACAACGGCTGAAACGTTGTAATAAATATGGCGACAAAGATGAGGACAATAGTCCGAAAAATGTAAATAGTATGTCCTGTGACTGTCTATATTTCTGAGATGAGGTATTAGGTACACTATTTACATTATTCGGACTATTATCCTGATCTTTGTCGCCATATTTATTACAACGTTTCGGCTTTTCAGTATCTGTCTATATTTCTGAGATGAGGTATTATGTACACTATTTACATTATTCGGACTATTGCCTCATATTTGTCGCCATATTTATTACAGCGTTTCGGCCCTTCAGTATCTGTCTATATTTCTGAGATGAAGTATTATGTACACTATTTACATTATTCGGACTATTGTCCTTATCTTTGTCGCCATATTTATTACAACGTTTCGGCCCTTCAGTATCTGTCTATATTTCTGAGATGAGGTATTATGTACACAATTTACATTATTCGGACTATTGTCCTCATCTTCGTCGCCATATTTATATAACGTTTCGGCCTTTCAGTTTCTGTATATATTTCTGAGATGAGGTATTAGGTACACTATTTACATTATTCGGACTATTGTCCTCATCTTCGTAGCCATATTTATTACAACGTTTAGGCCTTTCAGTATCTGTCTATATTTCTGAGATGAGGTATTATGTACACTATTTACATTATCCGGACTATTGTCCTCATCTTTGTCGCCATATTTATTACAACGTTTCGGCCTTTCAGTATCTGTCTATATTTCTGAGATGAGGCATTATGTACACTATTTACATTATCCGGACTATTGTCCTCATCTTTATCGCCATATTTATTACAACGTTTCGGCCTTTCAGTATCTGTCTATATTTCTGAGATGAGGTATTATGTACACTATTTACATTATTCGGACTAGTGTCCTACATATTTCTTTCCGGATCTCAACCAGAGAACTAAAGACAGAAATGCCTTCATGACATTTTCCACTGATCATTGTTGTATAAAAACAAAACAAAGATCACACACATTTTACATAGATAATGCTCTTCGTAATGTGTGAGCTGTACTGGGGGAGCATATTTTTTTGGTATTTCTTTAAGGAATGGTCTATCAGGAATCTCCTCAGTGAGTTTATCAGAATCTTTTCTAATCTATCCGAAGGTCGCACACAACTAGAATTATTGATATCCACACGTGCCACAATTTTGAGATTTCCATTTCAAGATCCTTGTATTTTGATAGTTTTTTTGTTTTTTTTTGAAGATCTCCAAGGATACATCTGCAGAGACTGTCATGTCAATAAGAAAGCACATTCTATTCTCGTGGCCTTTGATCACAATATCTGGAAGCTTCGCTTTGTTCTGTCTGTATGAATTGTAAAGACTCATAAAGCTCTGTAACCGGGATTGGGTAATGTTAATACCATTTTCTTGCAGATTCCTTCCTCTAGAAATTCCATATTTTTCCAGTGCAGATATGTGGTCCCCACTCTATTATGGAGAGTTTTATATTCGGTTGATATTAATACTGCGCAACTCCATACAAGATGGTCAAATGTTTCTGGATATATATATATATATATATATATATATATATATATATATATATATATATATATATATATCATGCATTTCGGGATAACGCTATTTTTCAGTAATGTGTGCTTGTTAATTTCCAGTTAGCAAGCATTAGTCCTGTGTAGCAAGAACAAAACCTTCGGTTTCAGCTTTTAACCTTGCACTATGTAACCACTGATGGGTACAGAGTTACATCAGCTTGTTTGGTACGGGCAGATTATTATTATTATTATTATTATTATTACCGTCATTATAATTGTTATTATTATTATCGTCATTATTATTATTATTATCGTCATTATTATTAGGTTGGTGCAAAAATAATGACGTAATAATGTCGTTTTTGTGACGTATTTTTTAACCTCAAAAAACGACATTATTACATCGTTATTTTTGCACCAACCTAATATTATTACCGTCATTATTATTATTATTATTATTATTATTATTATTATTATTATTATTATTATTACCGTCATCACCATAATTATTATTATTATTGTTGTCATTATTATTATTATTATTATTATTATTATTAAAGTTTCTAGTTAGGAAGTATTGGTCCTGTGCAGCAGGTTTCAGCTTTTAAACTTGCACTATGTAAACACTGATGAGTTACATGAGCTTGTTTGGTACAGGCAGATTATTATTATTATTATTATTATTATTATTCTTTTATTTTCTTTTGATTTCTGGCGTTTGCACATTTCTTTCCGGGTCCGCCCAGGGACCTAAGGTTAGAAATGGCGTCATGATTTTTCCACTGACAAAAAAAAAAAAAAAGATTACATAGACAAAGCCCTTCGTAAGGTGTGGGCTGTACTTGTCAGAACAATTTTCTGTATCTCCTTGAGGCATGGACTTCCAGGTATCCCTTCAATTAGTCTACTGGAATCTTTTCCAAC